CGTGCGGTTTCACTTCACGGTGGCGGTATTTGTGCTTTGTTAGGTACTGCTTCTTGGCGAAGGACTTGCCACAGTCGTCACAGCGGAACGGTTTCTCAACGATCCTCTCCTCCTCCTCATGCTCGTCCATCTTCTCCTGCACCATAATGACCTCGGGTTGCGGCTGATGCTCCGGGTCCGGCTGTTCCGGCTCTGGATCAGGTGCTTCAGCCAGCTCCGAGTACGGCGTGTTTGCAGTCTCCGGGAACACCAGCAGAGGCTGCGACCCATCAACCAAGAACTGCTGTTGGTTGTTGTCCACCAGAAGCTGCTGTGTGGAGTCCATCGCCTCACCCACCTCGCCACTGTCTCAAACACATACAAATGGTGTGAGTTATCTGTGCTGGTGACCCCTCCACACCGGGTTCATCATCATCATCCCTTGCATGTGGGTGGCTTTGTGCTGGCTTAAAAGGTCGGTGCTGTAGAAGGTCTCATCACATACATCACATCGCAACACATCCTGCGTTGTGTGCGTCCGTGTGTGCCGCTTCTGGTTGGACGAGCTTCGGAATTCCTTGTCACACAGTGGGCACTTGAAGGGCATTTGACCCGTGTGGATGAGATTGTGGTTCTTAAGTGCCAAGCGGGAAGCTAGCTGCTTGCCACAAACATTGCATGGGAAGTTCCTCTGGCGAGAATGTACATTGTGATGTGTGTAAAGGTATTTCTTCTTATCAAACACTCGTCCACAGATCTCACACATGTACAAGTGGGCTTCCACATTACCATCAGCTTCTAAACCCATTCCAGTGTTGGAGTATTGGGGTCTCAGGTGATGGATTTGCCTGTGCTTAGCCAGGTGGTGCTCGCGGCGGAATTTGTGGCTGCACATGTCACACTTAAACATCTCCTCACGAATGTGGTCCCGCATGTGCTGGTTCAGGCTGCTGTTGTTGATGAAGGTCTTGCCACAATTACCACACTTGAAGGGTCTCTCTCCAGTGTGGATCCTCATGTGGATCTTGACAGACTCTGCATTGGCAAAGTACTTTCCACATGTATTACATTGGAAGGGCTTCTCCCACTGTGCATTTCTTATGTTTCAGCAAGCGGCCACTCTGAGAACACCTATAATCACACTGATCACATTTGTAAGGTTTCTCACCACTATGAATCCTTTTATGAGTGTTATAGTTCCCACTGGTGGAGAAACTCTTACCACACTCACATTTAAAGGGTTTGTCATCAACATGTTTCTTTTTGTGCATAATAAATAATGATCTCTTATGAAAGTTACGGCCACAGACATCACAAGTGAACATAAAAGAATGCATAACTTTATGTCGGATGATATCACTCTTGTGCACAAAGAGTCTGTTGCACAGTCCACACTTGAGCAGTGGTGTGCCTGAGTGGAGGAGTTTATGCCTAACAAAGTGGCTCTTGTGGGCAAAGTCAATCCCACACTCATCACACTTCAGGACAGATGGGAGGGTGCTTCCCCCATAGTCTCACTCCCCTCCTCTCCCTCTTCAGGAATAAAGGGTAGCTCTGGACCTGGCCGCAGGGCCTCCCGCAGGTGCACGTGAGAGTGGCGAATGAGTGTCAGCTTGGTTGCAAAGGCTTTCTTGCAGATATCACACTTCCAACTCTTGACTCCTTTATGTGTGAGCTTGTGCTTCTGGAGATACCTTTTTTCACGGAACGTACGGTGGCACACATCACACTTGTAAGAGGCTGAGAGCTTGTGTGACAGCTTGTGTGTGAGTAAGGCGACATAGCTGGGAAAGTTCTTGCCACAGTGCTCACAACTGTGGCGGACATTGTCTTCCATTCTTATGTCTTCCATCCCTTCTACTCCCTGACCCATGTTTTGGTCAAGCAACTGTTGCTCCTCGCCCTCTGGCACCTCAGCAAGCCGTGACTTGACCCTCTGACCTGCATCTCCATGGCTGTCCAAGTGATACATGAGCAGTGCAGGGGTGAAGAAGGTTTTACCACAAATCTCACATTTGTTCTGGTTCTTGAGCGGTGGGTCCAGAGTTTGTGTCTCACCAATGCTGCACTCTGGCGGAAACTCTTCAGGCAGATGTCACACTTGAAAGGTCGCTCACCAGTGTGGACAAGAACATGCTTATCTAGGGCAGACTTAAGGGGGAAGCTGGCATTGCACAAGTCGCACTTGTAGTTCTTTTCTTGTGTGTGGACTCTGTGGTGACGGACCCACTCCTGGTGTTTCTTGAAATTCTTGCCACAGATCTGACACACATAAGGGAACTCCTCAGTTGGCATGGTGTGGATGATGGACTGCTGTTCTTCGACCAGATGCAGCTGCTTGTGTTGCTCCAGCTGCTGTTCTGTGGCACAACCAACACTACATACATCACAGTAAACCTCCTGTTCACCAGTGTGACAGTTTGTATAGTGGTCACAGAGGACATCCACATCAGTGAAGGACTCCTCACAAATTCCACATTTAAAGGGGTTTGTGGGAAATTTGCTCTCCAGTGTTTCTGATTGTTTTGGCTCATCATACAACTCTGATGTCTTGGGTGCATAGCCCTCATTCAGCTGCTCCTGAAGCTGTTCCACAATTGAGTTTTCATTCTGGAAGGGCTTTACCTCTGCCTCATCTTCCTCCTTCACCATGACACGATCACCATGGACAGTGCTCATGTGCTTGGTCAGAGTCCGTTTGAAGGTGAAGTTGGCTTGACACACACTGCACTTGAGCTCATCCTCTAAGCCTCCCACAGGATCAGATCTCTTGTGGACCTTCCTATGGCGATTGAGGCCACTGCTTGTCACAAAGCCCAGGCTGCAGATATCGCAGATGAAGGGACGATTGGATTATGGGTTTTCATGTGTGTGTAAAGTGTGTCTCGGTGAGCAAAAGTGCGGCTACATACGGAGCAACGGTACTGATGTGCCTCCTCATGAATGGCCAAATGTTTTTTGAGTTGTGAAGCCTGGGCAAAAGTCTTAGGGCAATGCTGACACCGGTGGGGCCTCTCACCAGTGTGTGTGAGGACGTGAGTTTTCAGGTGCGATGGGTCTACAAAGCCCTTGCCACAGTGGTCGCAACGATGGGGGCGCTCCAACCCGTGCATCTTGTGGTGGGCCTCCAGTGCCACGTGTGAGGTGCAAGTCTTACCACACTGGTCGCACTCAAAAGGACGCAGATTGTGTTTCTGTCTGAGGTGCCGGATGTAGTCCCGCTTGAAAGGAATTACTTCACCACACGCCTCACACTTGTGCCCATCTACACTTACAACGTCGTCTGAAAGGAGGAAGTTTCAATGAAATGTGGTAAAAGCTAAGTGCCTTTTTGAAGACACTCTATTCCTTCAACTAACTAATATGCTTGATCAATAACACCTTAACTAATGGACAGTAAATGTAATTACTTTAAATCAAGATGATATGAAAAAACAATACCAGAGTGCTTTCAGTAGTAAATATATATGCAGTGCTCCTGACATAATAGTTATGGACTGAAAAATCTAATTTAACTAATACACAAAATATGCCTTTTAAACACAAAAACTTTAAGTTCTAATAATGAATATATAATCAAGAGCAATTACTTAATGATACATGCAACCAAATACAATTATTGGAAAACTAAGTGTCATAAAAATACATGTGTAAAATAGGATCTAAGAAGGCATTAATAGTAAACTTGTAATCAAAGAAATCCTAAACCCGTATAGGGCACCCAGAGCCCAAGAAGTGAACAGCAATCAAAGTTTAGCTACTGGTACCAACCTCAACCTAAAGGTACCTAAAATTAATTCTACAAAACAGTATATGCGAATCTGAAATATATGCAAAATATTCTCTTAACAAAACTACTAAGACAAATTCTGTGATTACAATACCTTGCAAAAAAATGCATGATCCTATCCAGGATAACAGACACTAAAATTGCAATGGGTGAGATGACCCAAGCTAACGAGAGATAACGCAAATATATAGGAAAGCTAAGCAAATAACATATTATATACCAAACTTTTCTATTACCGCCATGCACAGTTCATCATTATATAGCTCCTATGTAGTTTGAGGAAACAACAAAAAGACAAAAAGAAATAGAGAAAGCTACTTTTGTAATGAACAGACAGTTTTAAGTATGAAAGGTTTGAAAATGCATTCTCTTTTCTGCCAATTAAGTTTTTCTTGAATCTTTGAACGTTTATCAAAAAAAATATTTACTTAACTATGAGATTCTTCCTAAAAGTGTCCACTCTCTGTTCTAATTTTTATATCTGCTTGAACTGTACTCGGAACTATACATCCTACACTGATCTAAGTTTTAGTGGAGTAGATAGTCTCTTCAATAAATTCAAATGAAACACAAACATTTTAAAAGGAGAATATTCTCTTATAAAAAGCAAATAAACAGAATTCACATAACAAAACAAAAAGATAAAATTTCTTTCCTATATTTATATCATATAAAACAAAATAGAATAATATATCCTACTGTAACAGAATCAAAGGTATTAATCAGGAGTCATTTATTTTTGATCATTTCCACAAGACCCTCTTCCCGCCTTGAGAATGTACCAAGCAAAAAGATAAAAATAATGACCTCTGCCACAGAATCTTCAAGGTCTAAAGAAATGCAGTGATACTAGCAAATTCCAGCAGTGAGCAACAATAGGACACCTTGCATTAGCTTATAATCCTGTCCTTGTCCATGGGGCCTTCCTTATGCAAATAAAATTAATCCTATAACGTAAATGTGTTTCAGTGTCTTTTTATTGGAAATTAAAAAATCTCATCGGCCACACATGTTCCAATCTTGATTTTGGCAGCATGATACAAAGGCAATAAATATTTGCATTTAATAACCCCCAGATCATTATTTTTACAATGTTCTTAGAAGCATACACCAGGTATTATGCCTCATCAAAGGAAATATCTTTACTATAAAAAAGAAAGAGAGAAAAAGAAAATAAGACAATTTACAGTACTTGAAACTAAACACAACAACAAAAAAATCTAACTACAAA